TGGATTCGGAGCCACACACAAATTTAAAGTGAAATGTTCCCTCTATTTTTTTGAGCAGTATATATTCTGCAGTAGATACAGAAATGTATGTAACAGTAACAGTATGTAAAACGCATAAAATACAGTTAATCAAAGACATGTCTTGATGTGATAGAAAAAGCCTTATTGCACAAGTTATAACATGTCAGACTCACAGTGATAAGAGGAAAGTATTTTGTCTGTTCTGAAACATTCAACATATTGGAAAAATATTCATAAAATTGATTTATGGAAGAGGAACAGTTAAAATACTAGCTTTAATTGAACTGTAATTACACAGTTTGGGTAATTAGGTCTTCTACTTCCACACATTATTGTTTAGTCTCTTAATTTTTTATTTATTCTGTTGTAAAATTGGTAATATTTACTCTGAGTTTATTTCACTAGGTTAATTTTTCACTTAAGTGAACTTTTCTCACAGTTATTTGCTCTTGAACTGAAGTAAAATTTTACTATATTAACATTGCATTGTATAGCAACTTAAGTAGGTTATTTTTCTACTCTTCCCACCTCTCTATATTTTCTAAAACAAAAGACAGGCTACCCTCAGGTGGCGGTTCTTCAAAGGAAGCTTTCTGAGACTCCAGCAGCTCATTGAAGCCATAGTCTGTAATCTTCAGAACAAAGCGCCCGTCCACCACACAGTTTCGAGATTTAAGTCTGCCGTGGGGGAACTCCCTGTGGTGGAGATATTTCATACCCTGGAAACACAACATGTTCGACGTTGTTGTTTATTTGTAAGCAAACAACATACAAAATGGAGATTTAAGAAGTTGATGTGACATTAGTGCTTACCTTGATAAGATCAAGTAAAAGTGATGACTTAAACATCCAGTCTAATTTTACATCTTCGTTCTTCAGCAGGTCCTGGAGACTGCCCCGAGAGCAGTGCTCTGTCACCACAGCAAACATGAAGCAGTCCAGGAAGAAGCCCAGGAAGGGATTCACGTTCTCATTTCTCAAGTCCTTCATCTGCAGAAGACAGAACAAGCATGTAATAATGCCACCTTTAATTAGAACTGATTGAATATGTTCTAAATTTATCCAAGTCCTGATTTCTGTTCTGTTTATCAATAATCTATACGGAAAGCTGTTAGCATGACATACCATTGATTCATCTGAAATAAGTGTCCATGCACTGCCCTACCTTTGTGAAAATCTTTGTTGTGCTTTGTTTCATCTCCTTGAATTGGCCCTCTTCAAATTTCTTGAGCCACACCCAGTCACCCTACAAGATGAAACAGATGTTTTACTTTATGGATGTTAAATTGTACTTTTAAGTAAAAAAGAAAAAAAAAAATTAAACGACATAACAAAAATAATATTCTTAAAATCGTAAAGGAAATTTTAAAACTGGTCTTAAACTCTTTTGTCTGTTTAATACAGTTGCTTTCTCCCCAACTGTCTTTAGAAGTTGAAACTCTTTAGTAGTTTGAATGCGTTCATCAGTAATAATCTAATTAAAAAAAAAACTCTGATATTTATCTAATCAATTAAAACCTGTCTAAAATCCTTGCTGTTTGTATACCATTAGGTCCAACAGCATTGTGACCCACCTCATACACAGCGACGTTTGAATTCTCGTGCGTTGCCGTCTGCATGCTGTTAACAGAGTGGGACGGGTCTGCAGACTTCTCATCCAGAGCGCTCCTGGACTCACTCAGATCCTCTAAGGTAATTTTCTATGTGACAGCAACCATAACAGATTTAATCCATGTACAGAAAAGATTTTCAAAAGTTCAGAAAACTCTATCATTTTTTATTATGCAGAGTTATATAGTAATAATTTCCTGTGCATTTAATACTTTTGATGTAGAGAATGTGTTAACCTTTAGTAATTGATGTCTGCAACACAAGGCAGAAAATGTCAGACAAAGGAAGTAATGAAAATGAATTTTAAAGGAGCGCATTGTGGAAAATTTACTACTCTTTGAGCTATAAATATATTTTTGTAACTATCCTGTTCAGATTTGTTTTAAAGTTGAGTTTGGTCCTTTGATAGCTGCAACTATGTTTTTGCATGTTGCAAATTTTTCCTTAATGTACAGATTTTTATTTTTATGTGTTATACTTTACCTTTGTGTCACTTTGCATTTCTCCATTTGCCTGTCACTATGAGTGTGTTTCTGTCACCAGTTTCTATGTCTCAGTTTTCTGAATAAACTAAACCTGATCTGTGGATTCTTAAATAACACCTTCCTTTGTTCTTTGATCTATTACATTATTTTTTATACAAATTAGCAAGCTTTGCAAATGTGCTGTCCACATAGCTTTTAGATAAACAATGTTAAGATGAAGTTATTGGTAATGCCTGGTTGCGGCTTGCCTTTTTGCTTAACTGAGGGTTAATAAAAGTGAGATCTTCTAAAGTCAGCAGGATGCGATTGGGACCTTTGATCAGCTGGATTTGTTGAAGTCTCCTCCTGCCAAGTGATTACAGAAAACATTTTTTTCTAATTAGGCCATTCAGTGAATGTAATTGTTCCTATCACTATATATCAGTAAGACCATACCTGATGTAAATAGTTATGAAGAGCCCTCCTACAGCCAAACTGAGGATCACAGCCAATACTATTATTATGTAAGACACCTCCACACCTAAAAATGAGAGCACATGACTTGACAGGGTTGGCAGTGTTTGTAGTGAACAAGTGAAGCAAGAGTGGATACCAAACACCAACTTAAAAGGGCCTTTTACCTCCGGTGCAGATGACGTTTTCATCAAACCAGCAGCGGGAGTCGGCCGTTGGAGGGGATCCTCCTGGAAAATGGATAGACCTTCCTGCAAAACGAAGCTCTCCTGCCTTTAGGTCCACAATGTAGGCCTGGTAAAGCTGACTGCTTCTGCTGTCAGAGTCCAAAATAACATAGTTGGTCTTAACCTCCCCACTTGTATCCACCAGCACCTTCTGGTTGAAGCCATTGAAGCTTGTGTTCTTGGAGAAGTAGGCCAGATTTGAGCCTGATAGAAGCATGCCAGCTTTCCTGGCATTATGAATGGACCTGGCCAGCAGATATATGCTGTTGTAGATGGTTCCAAACAGAGGATTAACCTGTAAAGTACAGTACAAGTGCAGGAGAAAGCAATGATGTCAGTGCATGTTAGGTCATGTTGCAGACAGAGAGGCAAAACCACATTCTGAATGGTTCAAATTCAGAATGTGGAAGACTTTTAGATGCTTTATAGATGCTTCATTTACGGTATATTAGCAACTATAATTTGATGTCAGTTATCGGACTTTTGTCTGACAAATCAACACAAAACTGCACATAATGGTGAGTCTTACCACCAAATCTGATTTAATTTAGTTATGAATTTTGCAGATGAAACACATGGAAGTGCTTTGATCTCATTGTACATCTGGTTGTTTGTTTAGGGTTATTGTAGTGCTGGAAGGTGAACCTCCAACCAGTCTGAAGTCTTTTGGAGTCTCTGATTTTCTACCTGAATCACCATGTTCCATCTTTGCAGAAATTCCTACAGAATGCTGCCACCATCATTTTTCATGGTGGTGGCATGAGTAGGGTGTGATCAGGCCAATGTACAAAATGTGCTTTCCATGATTCAAAGCATAATGCATGTACAACCAATCACATTATGGTCTCATCTGACCAGAGCACTTTGTTCTACAAATTTGTCATGTTCCCTACATGTTTCTGGCAAACTTCAACTAGGACAATCTATGGCTTTCAGTGAGTTTCATCTTGTTACACTTCCTTAAAGGCCATATTTGAGGCACAGGATTCCTAGATTAAAAACAGACGTTTACGTCTTTCTAAGTTTACATTCTCACATAATGGATTAAAGTTTATTGTTTTAAACCTAACCCTACTTTTAACTTTTCTACAATTTGATCTTTCACGTATATGCTGTGTGTCTTGCGCTTTGTGATGCTAACAGAAAAACTAGTGTGGACTTTTAAAAGCCATAGAGAAAGGTGCACATGTTTACAGATCTGACATTCAAACACTCCCTACCTGCTCCGCCTCCACTGGCAGTGTCATCTCCTGGCTCCTCTTGGCTGCAGTGAACGCCTCGTTGAAGGACAGCAGCTCGGAGGCCACAGTGATGGTGAGGACGGCGTCGTAGGCCTTCCTCAGAAGGCTGTTGTTTTGGAGAGCGAGGTGGGAGACGTTGTTGTAGGGAACGCTGTAGTGGAGAGTATCGTAGGGCACAAACACGTAGTTTCCTGAAGTCATACCCATCTTGTGTGCGATTGTGAGAAAAATGGCCTGGTATTCTCCACCAACCAGGATCGAGTGCATGCACATTATGATCACTGAAAAAAAATAATGGTGGTATCATTATGTTTGTACTTCTGTAGCTAGTACATTAATTTATGTATAATTTCATCAATTCCAACAAGATGTGTCTAACCTCTGACAATATGATATCACTTGAAGAGGTAGCCTAGTTGCTCTGTTTGCTTATAATGTACAAGTCACTGCGCTTATTGCTGAGACAACCATTTTGTACATAACTCTTCCATTTTTTTTCCCAATAGCTGTGATAATCTCACTATAAAAAAATCTCTGAAGTAGATAGACTAGCAATGATGGAGGTAAAAGAAAAAACATGATTTTTTTTATCTTTTCATGCCAGGATTAGAGTAAAGATTAAAGTAAAAATACAAGAAGTGGTTTGGCATTTTGTGGAATCATAGGCCTACTGTGAACTTCTTGTGTAAATATAACCAATACAAATCTACAGAGTGTCTTGCAAAAGTATTGTGACTGCTTAAACTTTCTCATATTTTGTTTCACTAACTTTATGGTATTGTAAGTGAATAATCATAGCATAACGCTCAAGAAAAAGAGTGAAGACAAAAAAAAAGAAAGAAAATTGTGGAAAATAAAAAGCAATTCCAGGTTATAAAAGATGATGCTGAGCTTTTGTTAGCTCAGCTTAACTGATCACAATGTTTTTGTAGGGAACAAAGCTAATATGTGGGAGAAAGTCTTCTTGTGAATTGACTAAAATGAAACTTTTTTCTTTTGTTTAGATGCAAAATCTAAACAATACGCCATCTCCAAAGTTAAACGTTGTGTTAGTACATTATGTTATGGTGGATGTGGAGATATGGAAACTGGTCATGATATGGATATGATGGATTGAATGATTTAGATCATAGTATATCCATACGCCAGCGTGACCCAGTCAAAGTCTAGACAAAAATCCAATTACCAACGTTGCAAGGCATGAAAGGTGATGATGTTTGAACTGCAGCCAACTTAGCAGTCCAATCATCAATTTGCTATATTCCTATAGCAAATTGAGATAATTTGCTATAGGAAGATTGGGTTTTGTCTTGCAGCTGTAACTGTAAAAAATGGTGGCTCTACTCAGTTTTTGTTTGCACGTTACTCTAGCACATAAATTCCCAAATAAAAAAAATTGCACTTATAATGTGGCAAAATGTGAAACACTTTTGCAAGGTCCCTCGTGTATTTTTAAGTTAAAACAAAACAGTGAGTTAATTATCTAAAGTCAAACTCACCCCTTATTTCTCCTGCGTTTTGGATCTTTCTCAACGTGCTCTCTACCTCCGTATCGTTCAGACCCATGGCTGTGACCAGACCCACTGGAAGCCCCTTCCTCCTTAAGCCAGTAGCCACTCTCCCAGCGGTGTCTAACCAGATGTCTTCATTGGAAGAGACCACCGCCGAGCTGGCCCACCTGAAGTGTTTAAATACGGTGAACAACACGTCCACGGGAAACGGGACTGTCCGTGCAAAAGTTGGGTATCCAGACATGCGCTCCAGCTCGTAGGTGATGCAGCTGAAGGAGAACAGCGCCTTGTCCCAGTTCTTGGCCAGCAGGGACGCGGCGACGCAGTATCCCGGGTTGGTGGGGCCAACAAACGCGTTCGCTGAAGAATCGTAGTAAATATAAGCCGTGAGGGCTTTTGAGGTTTCGCAAGGCTCCTGCAGGACAATGAAGTCCATTGTTAGACCTAGATCCAGACCGGGGTCTCCGTTGATCCTGCTCACAGCGAGCCTGGCAGCTGCGGTGGGAAGGGCCCTGTAGTAAACAGGGTCGCAGTTCCAAGGCCCCAAAATCCCCACTTTGAAGATTAGACAGTGAACGCAGCAGGGGAAGGTGAGGACCCCTAACAGAACCCATAACAGGAAGTTACAAAGGGGGAGCGTCGGTAAAGTCTGTCTGTTCTTTATTATGGGCACACATGGATGGTTGGAGTCCCAACCATTTGGAGGAGTATGTTGCATTGTCCTTCCAGGTTGTCCAAGGTAGTGAATAATCTTATTCACTATTAACTTACGTTTTTTTCACACCCATGATGCCTGCAAACGGAAACATAAACAGATATCAGACTTAGTTTTCTTTCTAAATAAACTTTTATCCTCAGTGACATCCCCCGCGCACCTACCATGTATTCCCTACCATCTGAACATCTCCGGGATCCGATGAAACAATCTGACGGGTTCCTCCTCGGATCTGAGCGTCTCTCTTCATCCCAGATCCTCACCTGTCCACTCCGGTGTCGCTGAGATGAAGACTCAACCCGCTCATTGCGTTAGGATTATGGGCTGCAAGTGACAAGTAGAGCTCAGGAGGCTCGTCTAGGCGTTTGGAGACAACTTCAGCACCCTGGAGAGCTACTTACGATCTTCCCTTCAGCGTCTCTGAAGGCTCATGTGCGTTTCCACAAACAGTAGAGTCCGCAGACAACATGTCTCAAAATTGACAGGCATTTTATTTCCTTTTGGTGTCAGATAATCCATACACGGTAAAAAAAACAAACAAAAAAAAACAAACAAAAAAAACAACAAAAAAAACAACAAAACAGAAAAAAATGGAAGAAGAAATAGAAGAAGTAGGGAAATTATAGCGTCGGATTCTTATTACGATAAAAACAAAAAAAGAAGTTGAGTGTTATGGTATTAGCTACATGGGAGGCTTGTGTCGGTCAGGCCCATTCAGTGAAATCCTACCAAAGTGACCTGGGGGCCCAAACGCAGGTGTTACTCACTAATCCATTTTCAATGAGGCACAATGTAAGAGGATTGACAGCAGGCCTTAGTCTAGTTTAAATGCCTTTTTCGAGGCCTTCTTCTTCAAACATTATAGACTCAAATATATTTTTGTTCAGTTATAAATTTGAGAGGAAAGGCGCATGAATTTTATGCAGGCTCGAAGTCAGATGCCTACATAAAGGCTTATTTGTACCCCTTCACATTTTCTCACATTACAACCAATGTGTTAATGTGTTTTACTGTGGTTTTATTTGATAGACTAAAGTAATTTGTTATGAAATGGAAGAAAAATACAAATAGTTTTCCAGATTTTTTTTAATTATTATTAATAAATTTACTAAAATAACTGACATACATTTAGATTTGTCTTTTGGACTATGTCTGTATTTTGTAAATTTACTGTCTCTAATTTGTAGAATGACTCAAGCTCATGAGTTAGTAGTTTGCATGTTCTCCCTGTGCATGCGTTTGTTCTTTCTGAGTACTTTGGCTTCCTCCCACTGTCCAAAAACATGACTTTTAGGTTAATTGGTCTCTCTAAATTGTCCGTCGGAGTTTGTGCATGTTTGTTTGTCCTGTTTGTCTCTGTGTCGTCCAGTGTGTGTACCCTGCCTCTCACCTGTTGGTCGATGGAGGTGGGTGCTGGAATAAACATGTTAGATATTGGAAGGATGGATTCTGATGGAGGTTGAACCTCAAATCTTTGATACATTTTGTTTTCCTGGATTGTTCTATATTTAGCTCCATACATCCTTCCATCATACCAGTTTTACCATCCCGGATGAAGGAACCTTCACCAAATTTTTCGTGGGTTCACACCTTTTCTGTTGATGCTTGTAGTTATAGCATTGAAAAATGCAAAGTTCAAGGGGTATGGATAGCCTTGTGAAGCACTTCATTTATTTCATAAACAACTGTAATGTGTAAGGATTGAGGGATCATGTTTCTCGCCATGGAAACAAACGTCAGCCACAGTGCACCAAGCTGGCAGCACTGTGATTTAATTGGCCTAATATGCCCACAGTACAGTGGGTCCCACACATCAAATGAATTTGTTTCCTGGTAGAGAAGGAGTAATTAGAGCTAACACAGGGGCCATCCCCATAATTCCCAGAGCCCTGCTGTGTTTTGCCTGCGTCAGATTTTTTAGAATCCTTTTTAAAAATCAGTCAGCCCAATGTGAGGAGTTGTTTATCATGCAATAAGCAAATTAAGGACAAATCAAAGGCTGGTTGAAAGAATTTTAAAAAATGGGATCAAAAGAGGGACATTAAAACTAAATGGTATTGATCATTAGGAGACAGGAAGATGGAAATAAGTCAGAGGTGATTCCAACAAACATCAGGTCACAGCTGTCTGTGTGAGTGAGATAGAGAAAGACTGACCCACCCCTGTCTCTAAGACATTCAAATATTTTATAAATTTTCTTTATGTACATCTGAAAGATATGACTATCTAAACTAATGCCTTTTCTTTAATTCTAAACAGAAAATATTAATATTATGCAATATTATTTGTCATATAAAAGCTTTTAGGCATAAAGTGAAGCCACCTTTGATGACCTACATCCCTCATAAGCTGAAGAGCCTCTTAAATGTAACACCTTGACAACCATGTCCCGCATCCAGGAATAGAGGATAGAAGTGATGACACAGCGCAATGTCGTACAGAGTGAGCAGAGAACAAAACACAACACGGTGCTGCTCCTGTGCAAATGCAGAAGGATATCTAAAAGTGATCAACCTCTGATAGAAGAAAATAGTTTAAAATGTATAAAAATGTATATGGATACTCCGTAAGAAAAATCGCAGATCATTTAATCTTATGAAGAAAAACAACAAAGGAAAGTACGGGTGAATGGGAAGAAAATGAATTATTAAACATGCCCATAAAACAGAGCAAGGTTTGAATAAAAAGGAATAAATTAGTGAATGCTAAATAGAGACGCAGGGAATATTGCATTTTTAGGTGCTTTTGTCTTTTTCAAACAGTTGTGCTTTTCAGACAATTTGCTTAGAACACACTTTTAATTTTTCATAATATA